TGTGCCTAATTGGTTGAATTAGATCATTTTATGATGTTTGAATTTTATTTGGGCTTTATTTAATTTTTCCAATATTTGGCAAATTCTAATACTATTTTGGTTTCTAGGCCATATCTTGAGTTGTAGAAATCCTTTCATTGTGATTCTTGATTTTTCGGAAAGCTAAGAGAAAGGTGCACAATTACTATGAAGAGGTTAAAAAACAATTCTGATGATAAGAAGCTGAAACTGGGTCTGGAAAAAGTCAGAACGCTGCAGTCGTGGATCCTGAGTAAGGTGCAGTATTTGGGCCATATCTCAGTCCACAGACATCTGATTAAGCCTATTCTAATGGCGTTTTGAAGCTAACATCCAAGGCTACAATTTTCCTTCAGGCCATGAACCAAAAAGAGGCCGTTTTCATAGCCGAAAAAAAAGAACAAAGTGACGAACGAAATTTTTTAATTTTGAATTTGGAATTTTAATTTTTTGGCTCCTCTCCTCTCCTCTCCTCTCTTCTCTGTTTCATTTTTTTCTCCCCTTTTACGACTTGTTTCCCTCCATCCATGGAGGCTTAGATTTCCATCTAATTCAAGGATTAAAAGAGACGTGACACTCTTGAGGATTGATCTCACATTGGCATAAATTCAATAACAATTTCGGTTTCATCTATTCCTTATTTTCTCCTTTTGCTAATTATATTTTCGATTTGAAGTTGTTCATTTGGATTGATGATTATGCATCTGGTTGATTACGTATTATTCGATTGATGTATGTAATTGAGTTTTAAGGAACATGAATTGGATTTTCAGGTTTGAAAACTACGATTAACGGCATTGGTAAATTAAATTAGCACAATTCAATTAGGTTCTAGAGTTTTCTGAATTTTAATTAATTATGTGCTAATTGAATGCATGAAGGTTTTCATGTGAATGCTGAGTTCGAATTGAGGTTTTATTCGGATTCATTGTTAATTACCGAATTAGTTGTTGATGTACTCTCTTAAAAATCCAGTGATAGAGTAGTCATTTTTTTCTTCTTAATTCTTGGATTGGAATTTCAATTTTTGTTCACTCTTCATTCTAATTATAATTAAGTGCATTTTTGGTTTCTCTTATAAACAAACCACACCCCCTGTTTTATATACTCTCTAAATAGATTAATTCGACCTTGTGATTCTTTGAGAAACGACCCTAATTGCTTACCTCGTACTATAGTAATTAGGTTTATTTGACCCGTGTGCGACCACGTGTCAGGAGGGTATATTTAGCTGCTCATATCCTAAGTTTTTTAGCTTGTTCCAGATCATTAGGAAGCTTATCGGTGCCGAGATATTAGATAATGTCTATTATCCAATTCTAAGATGTGTCTTCGACTTCCATACACTTTTGTCCCGAAATGCTAGTTTTATCAAGCTTTTTCTGGATCATACTTTGAAGTTGGCCTGACTTTCTACGACTTGCCAATTTTGCGAGTCTATCGGCCTGTTCATTAAGATTCCTCGGTGTATGGTGAACGTGTGCCTTGTCAAATTTAGATTGCATCTGTTTGAATTCTTGGTAATATTGCAGCATAATGGGGTCTTTCACCTGATAAGTGTCATTAATCTGTTCAGCTACAACTTGGGAATCGCTCTAACATGTGATCTTTTGGACTTTGATATCTTTTGCTAATCTGAGGCCAACGAGCAGTGCCTCGTATCCAGACTGATTGTTAGATGCCTTGAAACTGAACCGTACTAACTGCTCTAATACCAGCCTGTTCAGTCCCTCTAGGATTACAACTGCTCCACTGTGGTGTTGATTCGAAGATCCGTCAACATGTTAGTTCCAAATGTTGGTAGCAGATGTCTTTTTAGGATGAAATTCATTAATGAATTCTGCGAGGACTTATGCTTTGAGTGGTCCTCGTACCTCAAAATGGATATCATACTGAGACAACTCAACTTCCCATGACATCATCTGGCCGGCTAACTCTAGTTTGCATAACACTTTGGCTATCGGGTAGTCGGTATGTGCGACGATTCAATGACATTGAAAATAGTGTCTTAGCCTTCTTGCCGTGTGAACTAGTGCCTGCTTTTTCCATTAATTGGTTTCGAGACTCGGGGTCATGTAGTGTCTGACTGATAAAGTATATCGGCATCTATTCGGGGTCTTCTTGTAATAAAATTGAGCTAATGGCCTTGTCTAATACTACCAAATAAACGACCATGTCCAGGCCGAGCTTTGGTTTGGTTAGGATAGTAGGGATTGTTAGAGTGGTTTTAAATTGTCTGAAAGTTATTTCGCACTCTTCGGACCAAGCAAATGTCGGTGCCTTCTTAAGGAGATCAGTGAATAGTCATGATTTTTCTGCCATTTTAGGAATGAACCGAGATAGTATAATTATTCGGCCAGTCAATCGTTGTACTTCTTTAACTGTACGAGGACTGTGCATATTGATAACAGCTTGAGACTTGTCCGGGTTTGCTTGAATTCTTCTTTCGGATAACATAAAGCCTAAGAACTTTCCTCCAGAAACCCCAAACGCGCACTTTTTGGGGTTAAACTACATCCCGTGCCGTCGTGCTTCATCAAAGATTTCAGTTAGGAGGGTTATGTGATTGACTATACTGGCTGATTTGACCACCATGTCGTCGACGTATACTTCCATACATCTTCCTAACTGCTTGGTGAATATCTTATCCATTACCTTTGATAGGTAGCACTTGCATTTTTCAAACCGAAAGACATAACCTTATAATAAAAATTTGCCGAGTCAGTAATAAAGGTTGTTTTGTCTTCATCGGGGTGATACATCCAAATCTGGTTATAGCCAGAGTATGCATCCAGGAAACTGAGTATTTTGTGACTGGTTGCTCTGTCAACAAGAGCGTCTATGTTGGGCAAGGGGTATGCATCTTTTGGACATGCCTTGTTTAGGTCCGTGAAGTCGATATACATCCTCCACTTTCCATTTGCTTTTTTCACCATCACTATATTGGCCAACCATGTTGAATATCGCACCTCTCGGATAATGCCAGCTTGTAGCAGCTTATCGGTTTCCTCCCGAATTGCATGGGCTCGTTCACCTCCCATTTTTCTCTTTTTCTGAGTGACCGGCTTTGCTCCCTTGTGTATAGACAATTGATGACATAAGAACCCAAGATTTATCCCAGGCATGTCTGTTACTGTCCATGCAAATAGTTCAGCATGATTGAGTAGTACTCCATAAATCTTTTGCCATTCGGTCTGTAATAATCCAGTTCCTAAGTATGTAACCTGTTCAGGCATTCTTCCTAGTTGAAAGGACGTCTTTTCCTCGTTAGGTTCCACTTGAAACCCCTCATTTATTCTTGGATCAAACTCGATGTCCGAGAGGAGGGAATACTATATTGACATCCCTGTTCGGATTAGGTAATGATTTTAAACGTAGGCTTGCAAAATAACATTCTTTGACGATCTTTTGGTTTGCATAGACAATAATAATCCTGCCTTTGTCCAAGGGGAACTTCATGGTGAGGTGAGGGGTGGAGACTATGACCTTCAACTTGTTTAGAAAAAAGTGTCCCAACAATATATTATACGATGTACTCATATGAACCACCAAGAATGTATCTTGATGTGTTACTCTCTCTCCCGAAAATCCAACAAAAGGCTCAAGTTAAATATTTAAATAATTTTTTAATTATATTAATTGCTTTTATAAAAAGAGTAATATTATCTTTTAAATATAATTTATATTTTGTTATATTATTTTTTATTTATATAAAAACATTAATCACATAATATTATATGTTTTGTTATCTCAACATGCATGTAAGATAAGATAGATAATAATTAATAATTCTCTTATCTTATTTATTTTTATCCTATTATTTTATATCCTTTTTCCTTTCCTACTGTATTTATCAAATGAGCTCTTAAAGTTCTAAAATTTTTGTATAAGTCTATTTCCTTAATTTTCATGCGAGACGGAGAAAAATCTTTCTGCTAAGTGCATTAACTAACTACAACATTTCTTTTTCGTAGATAATATTTTATTTCTACATCACGGTCTTTCAAACATTTTATCCATCTTTGTCGTCTTATTTTTAACTCTTTTTTATCAAATAAAATTTAAATATTTTTATGAACAATGTATACTTCAAATTTTACTCCGTATAAATAATTTCTCCATATTTACAAAGGAAACAGCATAGGCTACTATCTTCTTTTTTGCATCAACATATATCTTAGAAAAAAGAAATGAGTTAAACCTAAAAAGTAGCACTAATTTAAGAACATAATTAATATTAAACTGCAAAAATTAAAAAAATATTTACTTCAACGTACCAATTAAAAACCATTAAAACGAATGGGTAAAACCCATAGCATTATGAAATATCAAATGTGTCGTCCAAGTTTATCTGTACCTCACTTACCACAATTTATGGCGTAACATCTCCGGCAACATGCGCGAGGGCCACGTGAATCGCCAATAGTACACCCTCCACATTCAATGTATATATACCGTCTCATAGGCACCGACTAAATATAAAATCAAATATAAAACTTGTTACACTTTTGATCGTATACTTTAATTGATGTATAATTTAGATTTTCTTAAATTTAATTATTTTGAATTTAATTTTTTAATTCTTAATATTTAAATTATTTTTAAAATATTTAATTATTAATATACATATAATATATTTTAAATTTATATAAATTAATAAAAATATACAATATATATATGTTATTTTTTATAAATATATCTAAATTATTAAAAGTTGTATTTTTATGAATTTTTAGACAACATTTTACGACAAAAAATCAAATTTAAACAGTTATGAAAATGAAATAAAAATAATTAAAATGATAAATAAGTTAAAACTAAAAGAAAATAAAAATTACGAGACAAAAAATGCAATTAAGGAAGAAAAAGTCAAAATCAGCATTAGAAATTTCAGTAATTCTGCGAAAGATGTATGGGCATTTATGTAAAACAAAAGAATAAACCTTATTAAACTCTTTGGTTGGTCTCGTTTTATCTCTCTCACTCGCCGACTAGCGTCTTCGAGGTTCACACCGAAGTCGTAAAAAGGTAATCTCTTTCTCTCTCTTCTCTTCTCTGGATCCCCAAATCTAGGGCTTCTTCTTCGATGCGAAATTTGCTGAATTAGTACCTTAATTTTTGTCCTCAATTCTTGATTTGGAGGCTTCGTCTTGTGTTTTACTTTCTTTTTTGACCTCGTGTTTGCTCACTTCACTGTGTTGATTTTGGTAAATTCTTCTCTTCGTACTGAATGCGTGTTCTGGATCCTCGATTGACTTGTGTGATCTTGGTTATTTCGTTTACTTGTTAAGTGGTTGTGTTTGTGGCCATTTTTGTTCAGATGTGAGTGAAGATTTTTTTTTATTTGTTCTATTTGCGTGCTTTTCATTGAGTTTGAACTCGAGTTGCTACCTTCTCGATTCGATGTCAGATTTGTGACTGCGTCTTGCTGCGATGGGTTGCATGAAAGTCAAATGAGTAAACCATTGTTGTCAGCAGACCCTGATTCTGGAAAATGAGTAATAGGTGTATGTATCAGGAGTGGCAAAGCCACCGCTATTCTAGAATACTGCGATATGACTTGAAAGTCGATGTTATTAATTGTTTGTTACCTATTGTTAGTTTATTGTATTTGTAGTTGTTAGTCCCCAATGTTGATGTAATTTACATTTTGAAGTAGGAAGGAATTATTACTTGTCTGGAGTTGGCAATGGGTTGGGCATTAAGGGGTACCCCCTGTGTTAAATTTTAATCTATGCTGTTGTGAGATGTTTATAAATGCGGATCTTTATAAATACACAAACCATTTTTGTTGGTTATATCAATTTGATAGTCTTTGCTCATTTTTGGACAAAAAAGGAAGATATTATTGATGTATTCCCTTTTTCCTCAATTGCATGTCTGCGATCTTCTTCTATGTCATGCTGTATTTTTGTGTTGATTTGCCCCTTTAATAAGGTATATGTTGTGTTTAAACTTGTTAGGGTTTCAAAAGATGGACAACGTGCACAGTTTCTGGCAATTGGGTGATGAACTTCGTGGACACTCAAAAGCATCAGAGGATCACAAATGGCTAATGGTTGCTTCAAAATTGGCTGAGCAGACAAGATCAAAGGGGGAGCGTGTGAATAACCTTGATCTTTCAAAAGGCCCCATTGAAACAAGGCCAAGGGATAAATTTGGGTTCCAGGAAGAGAATAAATTTGACACTTTTAACTTAAGCATGTTGAACCTGGACTCTAAAATTACTGAAAATGTGAGCAAAAGCGCCCTTCGAAATGGTGTTTACAACATGAATGCAGTGTATCAGAAAAGCAATGCAAACTTGGTGGGTAATGTGAACAGTAACAAGTATAATGGTAATATTCAGCATAACAAAGAGACCAACAACAGCAGTAACAACAACAACAATGAAAACAACTCCTCAAATGCAGCTGACAAAAGGTTTAAGACCTTGCCTGCAGCTGAGACACTCCCGCGTAATGAGGTGCTTGGAGGATACATCTTTGTCTGTAACAACGACACAATGCAGGAAGACCTAAAACGCCAGCTATTTGGTGTGTGCTTATCAAGTGTATTCTATTTTTCTATCTTGAAGATTATTAATCAAATATTTAATGAGTGCTGACTCTTTCAATTGTTTTGGTAGGTTTGCCTCCAAGGTATCGAGATTCTGTTAGGGCAATAACACCAGGATTACCTCTATTTCTGTATAACTATACCACGCATCAGCTGCATGGTATTTTTGAGGTAGGCTATTCCAAATTTCTGGGTACAGTTAATTATGATGTGTTCCAGACAGTGCAGGAAAATACCATATTTTATTTTTAGGGCTATAAAGTATTGACATTGTGCCCCCTGTTTAAATTATACTGGTAAGAAAAGAGGCTGGCCATAATTTCTCAGGGAGAATCAATGCACCAAGAACAGTTATAGGACCTATTTGTGTTGCTCAATAATTAAAGTCTGTAAAACAGATGTTTTAAGCTTGGAAATATTGTCTCTTTCAGAAATTATGTGGGATTAAATGATTGGGAATTTTCATTCAGATGCAGTGGCATAGTTAGTGATGGGGTTTTCTAATGCATAGGATATAAACGACTTTGTTCTAATTTAGTCTCCTGTTTTTTGTTTTTCTTTTGCTTGTGTATGTTCTTCTGATTAGAGATTGGAAATCGTCCATCTTTACCAAATTTTGATACTTTCTTGCCTCCTTTAGTAGTATTATTTTTTAACCACTATTCAATTCTTAGTAAAACTGAAAATTTGACGATAGACTTAATAAAATTTAGTTGGTTTGCTTAATTTGTAAGTCTTATGTTGCAGGCAGCAAGTTTTGGTGGCTCTAACATAGATCCTACTGCATGGGAGGATAAAAAATGCAAAGGCGAGTCAAGGTTTCCAGCTCAGGTAGAATCTAGGATTTTGAAATGGGAGAGTCCATATATTAGCTTGTCTGTGAATTGTTGAATGAATAATATTTTGTTCCCCATCATCATTGTAGGTAAGAATCCGTGTCAGGAAACTTTGCAAGGCTTTGGAAGAAGATTCGTTCAGGCCAGTATTGCATCATTATGATGGTCCGAAGTTTCGTCTTGAACTGTCAGTTCCAGAGGTATGATGGAATATTGCTATTTTAATTTAAAAGAATTATTGTGACATTGATTTATTACTGTTGTTTTCTTTCTTTATCTCCTTTTTGGATGGACTGAAATTTCTTATTTGATTCTGCAGACTCTGGATCTGTTGGACCTATGTGAACAAGCTGGTTCGGCAGCATTAGCAAACAAGGAATGTGCAAAATAGGTAGGTTTTGGTGTGCCAGCTGTGTGCTTTTGGCAGATTTTCCATGAAGCGTAAGCTTGGAAAGTAGTTTGTTTGGCGGATCATCTTTGGGGACTAGGGGAGCGTGTTGAGAGTGAGACCCTGGTGAATAAATGTTGTGGTATCCCATGAAGATGCTTTATAGCTGTTGCATGACATTTAATATCTTTGTATTATTAAGTACAGACTTGGTATGCAATCAAAGAGACAACTGTTTGTACTTGTAAGGCAATGTGTATTTCTGTTAAACCAAAAAGAAAATGTGATAGCATCGTTTATTTCCAAACTTATATTGAGCATCGCGAAGTGATCTTTTATTTTATATCCGATCAAAATGATTTATTTACGACTGAAATGTTACGGTTAAAAAGATTAGAATAAGAATTAGTTTGATTTGAAATATTATTTTGGTTAAACTTAACATTTGAGTAGATTTGATGCAAGTTTTTGTTTACTTGAATATGAAAATTGGGGTTTAAATATGATAAGCTATTGTAAATATGGTTTAATTTATTTATAGTTGTTAAGAGAAAAAACTGTTAGTTTTAGTTTTTATCATTTTTAAAGTTTTTCAATATTGATTTCTATTACTCAATAATGAAATGATATGTAATTAGACATGCTATTTGTTACTATTTGAGGGTGTATGTAATGTGATATAATTAAATGAATGTCATGATATAAGTAAGATATAAAAGGATTTTTTTAAAATTTTAAAATTTATTAGAATTATAATTAACAAAAGTATATTTAGAAGATTAAAATAAAATTTAATTACATTTGAAAAAAATGAAAAGTATATTTTATCTTTAAAGTTAGTTATTCTTACCTATTAATAAAATGCATTCATCAAACCTATTTTATATGGGTCAATAAAGCAAAATGTTAATATATATGTTTTTTTTTTTTTTTTACTTATTTTCAATATGAAACTGATTTATAATTTAAATTTTGTGTTTAATTATTTTGAGTTAAAATATAGGAAAATTATGAATGATTATGAACAAAACGGAGTAGAAAAATTTACTCTAAGTTAGTGCCTATAAGTATAATAGAAAAGAGTTATTAGCTATATAAGATTACAAAAGATACAATAAATATAATTAATTAAAATTTAAAGCTATCATTAAAATAGTTTTAGTATAAGTTTTTTTCTTATCTGCCTATAACTATAACGGTATCTGTTTAAGAATTATTAGTTATATAAGATTAATTTTTTTTGTAAGATATATATAAATGTAGTTGATAAAAATTTAAAGTTATCATTAAAATAATTTTGGTATAAGTTTTTTTTTTTATCTTAATACTTTAATAATATTTTTGTAAGTAAAAATTATAAAACTAAGTTAGATGATTTAAAAAATTATACAAATGAAATTATACGAAATCAAAACACTAAAATAATTAGAAATATTAATAATAATTATAATAAAATTTTTTAGGCTTTTAAAGACAATGTAATATCCTCAATTTTGTTGCCCTTGTAAAAAAAAATAAATTTTAATGCAAGGTATTTCGTTGTAGCAAAAAAGAGCATTTAGAATCAAGTTCTCTAATACTCTCTTGCTGTAACGAGAAGTGGATAATGATGACCTAACATCATTCTCGCTGTAACCAGAATTCTCTTGTTGTAGCGATGAGCTCTTGCTAGGGTTAGAATGACAAACAGTAAAGGAAAATTTTATATAGTTTTTTGTTGTAACGAGAGAAGGGTTCGCTGTAGCGAGAATATCGCGAGTTAAGGGGTATTTAAGGGCTTTCAACCTAAAAAACTTAGATTTCAATCCAAAGTTTCGACCCCTCCTATGTTCTCTTCAATCTCTCACCCTCTCTTATCAGAAATCCTCCTCTAAACTTTAATCTTCTTTCGAATTCGGGCTTGGAAGTTCAACTATTCAAATCCAAGTAAGTTTTTTGGAGTTTGGTTCTCCAACTTCATTCTTGTTTCTCATTTTTATCTGATCTAAAGTTTGATACTTTGTGATACTTAAGGAAACTTCAACCTTTAAGGTGATATCCTCTCTCAGAATGTTGTACCTCTCCCTTTGAACCCCTGAGAAAAACTCGACTTGAGAGACCTATATTTAGGTAAGGGGAGTTGATCTCGAACCCTAAGTCTTATTTATGTAATTTAACTAGAAAACTCAACTACTTGATTTTAAATAACGAAACTGTAAGGTTTTTTTTTTTTTTTTTTTTTTTTGTAAAATCATGGTATAGAAAATAGATTTTCAGTGAGAAAACTCCTTTTTGAACCCTAACTTCAATATTTTCATTTTGGGTAATAGTCAAGATTCTTTAGATTTTAGTACTAAAAATAAAATTTTGGGTATAAGAAATCAATAATTTATTCCAAAGAATATCTAGATAACATTTATTTTATATAGTAAAAACGATGAGTAACTAAGTTTCTGAGAAATTTTTAAGATTTTACTATTATTTATATATGAGCAAGTAATATTGAACTTTAGAATAGACGATTTTACTAATACCGAGAAAGTGTGTATATTAAATTGTACACTTGGGTTGAGTTCGAAGGTGTTTGACCTTCGACACATTGCATTGATCTGTGTGGTGTGAAATTATTTGATGACTTTTGTGTTACACGGATATCATACCATAAATATGAATGTTTGTTGATGATTAATGTATGTTGAAATGGGTAAAATTATGTTATTGATGAAATGTATTTGACTATTCTTAAATGAGAGAGTTTTATGTATAAAAGTGAATGATAAGACATAATGATGGAATTATGAGAGATGTGATTATAACAGTGAATTAGAATAGATTGATGAATATGATTATGATATAAGTATTGTGGTACATCGAAAGGTGTACTAATAAAACATGTATTATAATACATTAAGTTATATGATCAAAATTCACGTACTATGACACGTTAATTTATGAGAAGGATATGGAAAAGAATGAGAATATTTGAGAAATACTAAGAATAAGTATAGATAGTCACAAAGATACACTGTGAGTATGGAAGATGAGGGCGATTGAGAAAATCTAAGAGAAATGAGGGTGGTGGATGTTTTTCTATGAAATGTGCATAGTTAATGAAAATAGAGGGAAAAGACACCACATGCATCACACTCATTTCTTGACCTAAACTTTTGACCAACACCTTTGCTAAAAGGGGTCGAATCGACACACATGTATCTGTGTTGCTACGGCTAACCAATAACTATCTATGCTATGAAGTCCTCAAGGAATCTCAAGGGCAATGATTATGGAAGTATAATGAATGTGAAAGTGTGATGAATATGAAGTATTATAGAAATTATATGATTATAATATATGCATTGTAACATATCGATTGTTGATGTTGTTATGATATATGTTGTAATACATCAACGGGTGCAATTAGGACACATATATTATGACATGTTGATTGATGTGATAGGATTCATGTATTATGACATAAAGATTAATGTATAAAAGTATGTTTTAAATATTTCAAAGGTGACTGAAATAATGTATGTGTTCTGTTGAAATGATGACTTATCTTATTCGAGTGTTATTGTTAACCAATATATGTTAGAATTGTGTTGGCCAATATTTTTCGTATTATATAAATTTTACGTCAAATAAGAGATTTAGTGGGGCAAAAATTACTCACCCTTACTAAATATTTTTAGGAAGACGAATGAGGAAGGAATAAAGATGATTGATCCATCCCAGGATCATAGTCCAGTGATATTGGAAGGAAGACTACTCTGTAGAACTAGAATAATTTGAGAAATTATAATATTTTATTCTAACTACATTTTATGTTGACCAAGTTTTGTAAATATTTTTTTATAACAGATTTTAGAATTTATAATACTTTGATAAATTTTGTTGTAATAAATAATTTGAAAATGTTCTTAGTAATTTTTTAGACTTATACGTGTGCAACCTAAACCAAATGATTTGTTAGATATAAATTTAAAGTTTGCTCATCACTTTAAAATCCCAAAACTATCTCTTTGAAAGTTTTAAACGTTTTTGAATCCTATAAAATTTGATAAGAGAAATATGAGTTTTGTTTATTTTAATTCTTAAATCAACGAAACACAATAAAATTATTCTATTTTTTCTTTTTGCTATAAAAATTTATTTCTATGAATAAGAAATTGAAGATGTTACACATAATCTTTGTTATAAAAGTAGGTATGCTCGGACTTTAAATTTTGAAATAACTAATAGGTGAAAATTTTATCTATAATTCATTCTCTTAAAATTACAATTCTCGATAAGACAAGTTATCAAACAACCTATGTTACTAATTAATTCTCAAATGACTATAAAGGAGACCTAACCAAATATATAAGGAACTAATATTGACTTCCTTTTATTACGGATTACAGTTTAATTCATATTAATCAACTACAGATGTTTAGACAAATCACTTCAATTAATTAGTAAACTTATTTATGCACCATTTTGGATTATGAATTGGCCTACTTTATTAAGAAAAAATATTGATTTTAGTCTATTAAAAATTACTAGATATTCTAATATTCTCCTACTTGAATAAAATCAATTGCATAATTTTTATTAAAAAAAAAGTTTTTAAAATGCTTTCAAGTTAATGATTAATTTTATGTGGTCATATTTTAGAAAACACATAATCCATAATGCAATATTTGATGACAAATCTATCTAATGAAAGTCAAATAATATCATGACAATTGTTATATCATTTATTGATATATGAATTTCCATGCTTACAAATATTAACCACTTTATTGACTACTCATTAGTGTGGAGTGTAGTAAGAAAATAACATGCCAATGTGATCCAAAAGTCAAACCATCATTTTCTTCATTAGTCTTTACATTTTCTTCAAATGCTTTAAAGGCAGAGAAATTACACAGTCTTTCAAAAAATGATCATATCTCATTTTCAAATAACATCGACAACTAACATAGTGGTCCTAACAATGTTGAACTTAAAATTTGATCATGTAACACCCTTAATTTTATTACTCTTGGATAGGAAAAATAGGAATATGGGTAAAAGATATCTCGCTCAAGCGACATAGAATTTCCTAAAATAGAACGTTCTGGAACCCCTCGCTCAAGTGAGAAGGAGATAACATTATCCTAATTGTCCTCTCGCCCATGCCAGAAAGGGATCTTGCTTAGGTTGGGAGTAGCTCGTCCAAGCGAGATAGAGCTCGCTCAGGCAAGGAGTCGCAGGAAAGATAGGTACTCTCTGGACTCAATCTCACTTAGGCGAGGTATAACTCACTCAAGCAAGGTATAACT